TAGAAACCCTTTGGCTTTACTTTCTTACTGAAATGTGTGTGTGTGTGTGTGTGTGTGTATTTTTTGCGGGGGTGGGGGTAAGGTAACTGAAGTCTGTCAGAATTACTGGTTTGTACCATCTCTTGGGATACAGGGATTGGGAGTGCTGTTACAACGCCATCTGCTGGTCATCTCATCTGTAGTCAAACTGCGGCTTTTTTGAGGCCTGAATAGTATTGTCCAGAAATTCTAGAAAGCACTGTCTTAGAATAGGAGAAATAAAGGAAATTTGGAAGGGGAGTATTTCTTACAAGTCCTTCCTTTGACAAAATTTACTGGTTACATGTCACTTTAAAGAGGTTTTGAAAATATTGTATTTCTTAGTAACAATTGTTAATTGAAGTTTAATTATAGGGTTCTCAGAATAGTAAATATTCTGGTCAGTTTTTATTCAAGTTTAAGATCTTGATAAATAGTAAAACAAAGATATATATTTTCCAAGGGTTATGGGGGGGAAGTTCCTCCATATATTTTTGATTTCCATTTGTGCACAAATTAGGGAAATGACCTTGTTTTCAGAGTTTTTTAAAGTTTTTTTTAAAAATGAGAGAGATTGTGTTGTGTATTATTTTGAATGGAGATATAATTTCAGTGGCATTTGGACATTTATTAGGAACACCAGGTTAATAAGACACATTAAATAGAATAAACCAGTTGCTGTCCATGACTAAAAACATGTTTGAAGTAAAACTGAATCTCTCTTAGAAGGAAAGGCAAACATTATTTCCTCCCATAGTACATCTGTTTAGAGCTGGCTGACTAATCCTTCAAGAAGTTGCTGAACTTCTTCCAAGTGCTGAAAACCTAATTCTGTTTTAAAAATAGATCTACATAATCTTATCTTCATACGTGTTTTTAAGTGTTTAACAAAAAGGATAATTATTTTTGTAAATTAATGGTTTCTTAGGTCCACACTCCAATTGAAGCTTTGTCGTTTTTTTTTTGTTTTTTTTTTAAGGGAGTCCTGGGAAAAGTAGCCTATGAGAGTGCAGGGTTTGTGGGAAGAAGAATTGGTTTTTGTATTAATTTTTTTCAATTTCAGTATAGTGTTAATATCTCAAATATGTGAGAACAGGACACTTTCTCTTCCGAACTACAGTAATAGCTGTAGATGCAATAGAATCATAGTGGTAAATGCAGTAGTCCTATCATGAAACTCCTTAGCCTGTCTGAGGAATCTTGACTAAACACTTTACCAAACCAGCTACAAACTGAAATGAAAACACATCTCAAAGTGAAATGAACATTATGAGTGTTTTTAACGCTTCTAACTAATGTTCTGTGTTGTAGAAATTCTTTATTTTCTTTGAACCCAACTGCTAAACTGAGCATTCGGTAGCAATTTGTTGTTTAAATGGTGATGAAAAGAAAAGAGAATAATGCTGGGGAGTGGTCCTTTTGATAGACTTTTCTTATTTCTTTTTCCTGTAGTGGATTTCTTCGCCACTTTGCTTCTCTGCACTTTCTCATAACATAACAGTTAATAGTGCAGATTTCTCAAGCCAGATGGGCTGCTTCCACCATCACTAGCTTGGGCAAGTTACCTCTTTGTGCCTCCATTTCCTCACCTGTGAAATAAATAATATCTACGTCACAGGTTCGTGGGGAGGATATAAATTTAAACTTAACTTTAAATGAGGAAATAACTTGCAAATCACTTAGAATAGGTATACTAAGCCCCCAAATGTTCGCTGTTCTTATAATTCTTCTCCTCCAGAGCACTTTTCCCTTTTGTGTTTTTGACATCTCTCCCCTCAGCCTCCGTGCTCCCAACTCATGTGTTTCTCTTTATGATTAGATCAACCAATATTAATACCTTACTACTTGCTATTGCCTAATCAAATTTTACCCTATTTTAGTCATTTCTTAATAGAACAGTTGCTTCTCCACATGGCTTTTAAAGAATACTTTCAACTTCTGTGTTTCGATTAAGTTGACAGATTTTTTATTTCCCTCCCAGGGCAGTTTCTATTAAATGAGTTCTATTTGTTATGTTTAAAATGAAGGAGAAAAGAATACCTATTTAGTTAATATGGTGAAACTAAATGATTTGTAATGGTTGAATACCTGTCACCAAGGTATGTCTTCTAGCCCTAATTCTGGCTTTGGTGGTATGAAGGCCAGAACCACTTAGCTATAACCATGGCTCTTGTGGATGACCCTGTTACAGCTATTAATTTAAAGGACAACATGGTGTGTCTTGTATTAGGAGTCTATACTATGTATCGATGTCAGCAAAAATCATTTACAAGTTCTTGCTTATGACCTGTCTCTAAGATAAGTCCTTAAACACTTCCTTATGCTATTAATAGAAGAGATGAGATGAAAGGTGTTGGCAAGCAGCTTTTGGAGCTAGTGAACCTTTGGGTTAAAAACAATGGATATATGAGCATTCCTATTGAATTTATATCTTTAAAACTTTCCCCTTTATTTTATTGAGCTGACTGTTCTTTTTATGTAAATCTAAGATGTATTCCTAACTTAATGTATATTCAGTAATTTTTGTTTGTCTCTGTACTACATATAATATGTTAAGGTGCTAGTCCTTGCATGAAAGTTTTCTTGTGGTTAGGAAAAAATAATCTAGACAGTGAAAAGGATAGTGTCTTTCTTTGTTTTACTTGCTTAATCAGTGGAGTTTTTCCCCATCATGAGCTCTGTGGTTTTGTAGCTCTTAAAACAAACACCAGCATTCTCTAAGAAGCAGTATTTTACATGTTTTATTATATTTATATCTTGTATGCTGAGATCTTTTCTTCTGAGAGAGAAACATATGTTTGGTGAGTTCATATTTCTTGAAATATACATGATTCTTCAGACTGGAATCTAATGAAATAGGACTCCCATTTGAAAACCAAAGAGTTAAGGCTACAACAGAGGATAAAAGTGATCGAATGATTAGCCAGGGGCTAATAGAAATTCTGGGAAGAATGACAGATTGTATATTAGGAAGAAATATGATCTCATATTCATTGAAGCTTTTTACAACTAAAGATCTAAAAGAAATAATAGAAAATTACTGAAAGAGATGAATGTCTGAAACTTTAGAAAAGCATGTGGTATTGGATTAATCCAAGCAAGAAAGACTGATGGGCAGATAATAAATTACATTGTGTAGGAAGTCTGCATTCCTTGTTTTCAAGTACTTTCTTTTTTTTCCTTGCAAGATATATTTAAGTAGCTCTAGGCCAGTTTCAGAATATTCAGTTCATGATTTTCATCATCACACCATATGTGTATGATTCTTTGGAATAGATAAAGTATTATAAACAAAGACCCCCAAATCCTTTAGTGGTGAAGGTTAATCTAAACCTTCCTTCTGTTCTGTACCAAATTGGTAGCATTTTTCCTTATGAGAATATGAACAACTTAGAATACCTTTTCACATACGATTAATTGTAATGTCCCATAACTAACAAGAGAGTTTGGAGAAATGTACTGTACTTCTGCTGAGGAAAAGGCTTTATTTCAACAGCTGTACTTCTGCTGGGAAAAAAGGAATAGTCATAAACTGGAAAATGTGAATATGTATATTTTCATTGCAGAGAAGTGACTATTTACTTAACTGTTCTAAATTTTACTTTGCCATAAGTACATGTTGTTTTACCAAAAAAAAAAAAAAGAGAGTGTATGTGTTTGTATATGTAAGCGTTGCCTATCTTCATGTAAATTTATACACAAACTAGTATATATGCTTTTTTTCCCCCCAGGATCGAGTGGTCACACAGCACTGTAATAATTGTGAAGTTCAGCTACTTTTAAATATGTTTATTGAGAAGCATACATTCTTCTTCTTAAACTCTTTGAGCCTTTTAATCAGTTTTCCCGCAGATTTTTGCCATTCAGCCTTGGCATTCATTTGTGTTCTTAGTTTTTGTAGGTCCAAGGAGAAAGTGAAATGTTTCCTGAAATATAAATAAGTAATAAAATTAACATGCACACAGAGTACACTCTATTCTTCATGGACATATTCTTGTTGGCTCTTTTTTAATATATACTTAATCTCTGGGGGAAACAGAGATTATTACTCTGTTAAACTGACTCTAAATCATCTGGGTTTCTATATACTTAAGCATTTAAGTTTAAACTCAAGTATTTACATATAAATGAGTTCTGTATTCTGTAACCATATTAAACATTTCCTAGTGTATGATGGAAGGTTAATAAGATGTGGGTTTTTTTTATAGCTATACCAGAAATAAGATCATTATTAAAATGCTATAAAAGTTCTTGGATCCTGTCTGATAGAATGTGAGAAATAATGCTAGCTTCAGGTTTTGATTGCATAATACAGATGAGCCCTGTTAATAAAATGGAATAAAAGTTACAAGCTTTGTCTATTTAATATGCTTAATAGTTGCAATTGAATCTTTTCTCATCTGTTTTAGAGGACAACTTAAAATGTAACTCACTGTGCACTTTGTTATCGTTTTATAATAACGTGTCCAAAATGTGTGTGGGAGGACAGTGGCAGAGAAAAGGAGAGAGAGGAAGTGAGACTTCTGGGGGGAGGTCTCTCTCTAGTAAGAAAGAACAAATAATCAAAATTATTAGCTGTACTTATTTATCTCCTGTGTCTATATCAAATGTTGCTAAACTAACTGCTAATGCCTTGGACAGAGGAATAACATCAAGAGTTTTGGCCAAACTTCAAGCAAAATTTCATTTATAAGTGGCCTATAATCAAGATGCTTTCTTTTACCTAAATCATTTGCCTTGGACTTGAAATGTAAACAAAAGATACCTAATGAGCTTACCAATTATTCTTCTCTACAAAGTTATTTATCTCCATTTTTATCTCCATTCCTGGTATATATCTATCTTTGAGGATAGTGCAGTATGAATTAATCTTCCACATGCTGTTGTAGCCCAAATGGACATCCATATTTCTGGATAGATTGTTCTTTAAATGGTTAAAAATTATAGAATTCTAATAGGAACTCTTTTTATTCTGTTTGCAGCTATGTCATCTTATCTTTTAATTATTAAAACAGAGCTTCCTGCTGCTATTTCAGAATTTTTGTCTGGAGACCATAGTGGGTAAGAAAAAATATTTCACATTGTATCCATTCATTTATTAATTCAATAAATACATATTAAGCCCTTGTGGGAAGTAAAATAAATGTAGCCCCTGCCCTCAAGACACTTACAAATTAGGCAGAGGCAGAGTAATAATAGAGAAGAAAACACTCTGCAGATGTCTAGTGATACTCCAGTATGTGCAGAGCACTGCACTGTGAACCCTCTGATGTGCCAGTGTAATTCTTGCATTCCATGGGGTCATGAAAGGACAGGACAGGTATGAGCTAGCTCTTGGAGAAGAGTAAAGGAGAAATTTCTGGATATGAAAGATTGGTTGGGGGATGGGGGAAGGCAGAAAGCACTGACAGTAAAGGTCTTAGTGGAGGGGAGTGGATAATTCTGCTGCCACTTTTCAGCGAACCATAGTGATAAAGATAAATCAGAGTGATAACGTTACAACATACTTGTGTAAGATCCTGTTATACAGCATTATTAGAAAAAATTTGTTTCATTTCCTGTTTTTTAACAATATTATAAACAATACTAAACCATGTTACACTGCCCTTCTCCTTTCTTATTTTAAAAATACTGGGAAGCTCAATATCAAAAAAACAAACAACCCAATCCAAAAATGGGCAGAAGACCTAAATAGACATTTTTCTAAAGAAGATATACAGATTGCCAACAAACACATGAAAGGATGCTCAACATCGCTAATCATTAGAGAAATGCAAATCAAAACTACAATGAGGTATCACCTCACATCAGTCAGAATGGCCATCGTCAAAAAATCTACAAACAGTAAATGCTGGAGAGGGTGTGGAGAAAAGGGAACCCTCTTGCGCTGTTGGTGGGAATGTAACTTGTTACAGCCACTACGGAGAACAGCATGGAACAGTTCCTTAAAAAACTAAAAATAGAACTACCATATGACCCAGCAATCCCACTACTGGGCATATACCCTGAGAAAACCATAATTCAAAAAGAGTCATGTACCAAAATCTTCATTGCAGCTCTATTTACAATAGCCAGGACATGGAAGCAACCTAAGTGTCCATCGACAGATGAATGGGTAAAGAAGATGTGGCACATATATACAATGGAATATTACTCAGCCATAAAAAGAAACGAAGTTGAGTTATTTGTAGTGAGGTGGATGGACCTGGAGTCTGTCATACAGAGTGAAGTAAGTCAGAAAGAGAAAAACAAATGCCATATGCTAACACATATATATGGAGTCTAAAAAAAAATGGTTCTAATGAACCGAGGGGCAGGACAGGAATAAAGACACACGTAGAGAATGGACTTGAGGACACGGGGGAAGGGTAAGCTGGGATGAAGTGAGAGAGTGGCATGGACATATATACACTACGAAACATAAAATAGATAGCTAGTGGGAAGCAGCCGTATAGCACAGGGAGATCAGCTCAGTACTTTGTGACCACCTAGAGAGGTGGGATAGGGAGGGTGGGAGGGAGACGCAAGAGGGAGGGGATATGGGGATATAGGTATATGTATACCTGATTCACTTTGTTATACAGCAGAAACTAACACAACATTGTAAAGCAATTATACTCCAATAAAGATGTTAAAAAAACAATACTAGGTTCTAAAGACTATTGACTCATCTCTTTTTTATAGCAGAAAAAACCCAAATTAATTATACTTTTCCTTTTACTATGTATAACATGAAATTTTTAGAAAAATAAACTTGAAAAGACTAAATGAATCCTTTTAATTGTCATCAAATTATTATATATAGTTTCTAAACCACAACACTAAAACCCATCAGACTTTTAGATTTAAATGTTTGGTTGTTTCGCTCCAATATTTGAACTTGTTCTGGACTGCAGGGCAAGTTTTCAAAATTGAGTTTCAGATTTTACAAGTTGGCTTCCATGAAAGAATTCTACTTAGACAACTGCAAATACATATTTATAAGGAAAATATGGTATAGTTTAAATCTGAATAGGAACCATCAAGAATATGTGATTGAAAAAAGGTAAGTAGAAGCCCTTAATGATTTTTCATCATTGGAATATATTGTGCCTTTGTATAGGTTTCCACATTCATTATCACATCAGATACAGCTACCTTGTTTTTTATTTTATCTATAGTTTTATCTAGTTACTTTTAAGTTTTTTGCTCTTATTTTGATCAACAGTTGCTAAATGACATACTTATGTGAAATTTGCCTTTGTATTTGCTGTAAAAATATTGAAGGCAACTTCTATTACTCAAAAAGTTCTGTGCAAAGAACAAACGTATGGACACCAAAGGGGGAAAGCGGCAGGGAGCAGGGTCGTGGTGGGATAAATTGGGAGATTGGGATTGACATATATACACTAATATGTATAAAATAGATAACAAGAACCTGCTGTGTAAAAAAAATTTTTTTAATTCTACGCAGTAAATTTCTTTTATAATTTAGGGCTAAGAACTCAAGGCAATAAGAGGTGAAATAAAGAATGTTAGACTAAGAGTAAATTCTCTCCATTTCATATTCAGTGACCTCAGGAAATTAATTTAACTTCTTTTGGCCATATAATTTAATTTTGGGCCTGAGGTTTCTTCATCTGGCATAATGGTGGTGCCAGTACTGCCTTCTTAACAAAGTTGTTGAGATGACCAAATAAGATATTATAAATATACATGCTTTTGTAAGCTGATAGCATAGTGTAAATGTGGAGAATTAAGCAACTCCGTAATGTCGTATGTCAGTTATACCTCAAAAAAAAAAAAAAAAAAAAGAAGGAATTCCAGTAATAATAACTATATAAAGGTAGTTTTTCCCTATTTGCTCTGACTGCCAGGAAGGTCAGAGTCATATTTGAATGTATTGCATAAACTATGTTAATCCTACTAGTTGTCACATGTGTTCTCCTTTTTCTTGGTCCTGAATTTGGTGACTTCTCGTTATTTTCTTTTTTATTGTCATATATCACAAGGACAAAAATACATATAAAATTTTAGAAATAATTAAGGTAGTATGTGACAGAACTGTTAAAACTTAGGTCGTCTTTTTCTAAAAGTGATGCTTTTACCATAGCTTCATTTTAAATCAGTTGTCATTTACTTTATTGGTTTTTTTCTCTGATTTGTTTAAAGAAACAAATAAAAATTAACTCCATTTTATTCATATTAGTAGAAAATTGATAAAAATGTTATTTTTACATGTCAGAAATGAATTTTTAAAACTGTATACTTCAAAATACTGTGGCCAGTTTGCATCATCTCCGTTATGATGTTTTAAAATTGCACATCTTTTTAACAGCCTCATCTTGTTTTAAATGTAACGTATATTCACTTATTTTGGATTTCAAAGTTTTGAAAAGCATTAGTAAGTGACTAATTATATTAATTGGTTAGAATGCAGTTAAATCATTAGTCTTTAAACCTTAATGCTGTAAAATAATTAAGACACAAATGTTATGGTAATTGATTTAACTATCTGGGCAGTTTATTTCTAGGTAGAGTTACAGAGCAATATTTCCTCTGTGAGATTAATCTGATATTGATATACTTTTAGGGTTTGAATTACAATGCATTGCAGTTAAGAATTTTCTGTTGTGCTTATTTTCTGTGTTATCCGTGAGATTTGATGTGCCTTTGTGAAAACTAAACCTTTATAAAGATGTTATCAAAAAGAAACTTTATTTTCATAATATCCTAATTTCAAAACTTATTATTAGAAGTCAGAAGCTATAATACTTATACCAATTTTTTATGAGGCATCTATATTTTCATAGAATAACTTATATTCAAAAAAATCTATGGCTGTTAAAAGTTGGAAGCTCTCTGTTAACATTTAATGATCTTGTCAGCGGAATATGATTGACACAATTAAGTTGTCTTGCATTTGAGTTACATAATTGATATGGGATGTGAGTAAGATCCTAATTCAGAACATATGATACTCTTGTTCCATTCGAGAATGAAATTAAAGCAACTTATAAATAAATCTGGTTTTCATTAAAATACGGGAAAAAATCTGCATGCCAAAGCATTTGCAATACAGCTAAGGATCTATACTCTATATTTCATACTTGGAACATTTTTATCATATAGGATTAAATCCACAGATCAAACAAGTTTTCCAGGAAGTATAAAACTTTTTACTCTAATTCTTTTGGCTTGAAGAGAGTGTATATTTACAATAGATCACAGTAGGAAAATAGGGGTTTTGTTAGATAACTCTTTTTTCCCCCACTTAGGAAAAAATTTCAGGTTAGCATATTCTTCTAAAATCTTGAGTTATAAAATGTGCTTTTGCAACTTCTTTGTACTGGCTTGTATTTCTCAAGCTGGAGTTTTATTTTGTAAGTTTAATCATTTCTGTTCCTTGGAAAATATCCATTGCCAAGCACAATTCAGTTGACTGTGACATGCACATGAAATTTAAACTAACTTTACTGTGCATTACTGTATTGCCTTTATTTATTTATTTATTTATTTTTAACATCTTTATTGGAGTATAATTGCTTTACAATGGTGTGTTAGTTACTGCTTTATAACAAAGTGAATCAGTTATACGTATACATATGTTCCCATATCTCTTCCCTCTTGCGTCTCCCTCCCTCCCACCCTCCCTATCCCACCCCTCTATGTCATCACAAACCACTGAGCTGATCTCCCTGTGCTATGTGGCTGCTTCCCACTGGCTATCTGTTTTACATTTGGTAGTGTATATATTGTCCATGCCACTCTCTCACTTTGTCATAGCTTACCCATCCCCCTCCCCATATCCTCAAGTCCATTCTCTAGTAGGTCTGTGTCTTTATTCCCGTTTTACCCCTAGGCTCTTCATGACCTTTTTTTTTTCTTAGATTCCATATATATGTGTTAGCATACAGTATTTGTTTTTCTCTTTCTGACTTACTTCACTCTGTATGACAGACTGCAGGTCCATCCACCTCACTACAAATATCTCATTTTCGTTTCTTTTTATGGCTGAGTAATATTCCATTGTATATATGTGCCACATCTTCTTTATCCATTCATCCGATGATGGACACTTA